TTGGTCAACTAATGAATTATATCCAAGAAACCTATGAGCACATCTCCAGTAATCATACCATTTTAAATGGTGCTTTTACATGATTTTTGCAATCTACAATTTTTCATTATATACATATAATTCTTTCTCCAAAAAACTGTATACATTGGTTTTTGTTTTCAAGTTATCAGTTAGGAAATATATATTAGGATGCTTTATCTTGTTTGATAGTGACTTGCATGTGTAATTGTCTGTTTGACAAGTCTATTGTAAAGACAAGCAATATATTCTGAATATATTCATGTGAGTCTCTCAGATTGTTAACCCGCTGGTCAGCATAAGCTCATAATGTATCTGAGGATATATTTATTTATTACAATCTGAGCCCTGAAACAGCAATTTGTCACATGCAGTGACGTCTCTGTGTATGTTCTGCTATTTAGTGGTTGAGTAAATGAACATGATATTTAAGTGACTGCTATTTCCTGAAAGCAGGCTTTTCTTTCCTCCTCCTCCTCCTGGCTTTTCACTAAATTTCCCCGGGGAGCTTCAGCCCCCTGGGTTTGGCTCGGTGTCAGAGTCCCGGCAGTCATGATACTTCATCAGGCTTTTGCACCATTATTGGCAAGAGCACTCCATATCCTCTTAGCAGTTATAGCTTTTCAATTTTCCTTTGAAATGCTGAGCCCAGCAGAACATATGGCAATATCTTGGCTTTAAGTCTCGGATTGGACTGAAAGCCTGTAAAACGGCCCCGCATCCTGAACATGCAGCCACCGGCTACACATTCTTTGACCTTTGGGACTTTCAGAGCGGTGCCTCTGTGACCACTGATAAATACATTTATAATAGGCACAATTACAAGATGCTCTTGTAACAGTTTGACACAGTAACATTATGGTGTGAGCTGTCCTATAAAGCATTATTCCACCACCAACCCCCACTTCCAAGGGTCTCTGAGGACCCATTTAACATGATGACAGTCAAACATTCTTTGTCACACCGTATTCCCCCAACACACACGTACAAACACACTCTCCTGCAAGCTCAGGTACACATTGCTACATCCATGGACAAAGGGAGGCAGGTGCAGGTTATCATCCCTCCCCACTCCCACCTCATTTCCCTTCTTCAGACTTAAGTACTTTCCTGAAAATGCCCCCAAAAGCATTTGGAGGCAGAGGGAGGCTTATTGAAAAGCAAAAATCATCACACAGAGAGCAAGGGAGAAAAATCACATATGTTCACTAGCTATTGTATCATTTTCAACTCCTCAACAGACTATGGATTTTTGGCCCATTCCATTACTAATTAATGCCGTTGAAGGGGCTGGGGATGTGGGGGTGCAGGAGGGGGGTCGACCCTCCTGAAACCTAATCTGGATCAATAGGGTTGACCTTGGGCTGGGCTGCTAACAGGCAGACTGGACTGAAAAATATGTTCTGAATTTTCACAATAGGTGTGTAGGTTCTTTATTCATATAAATATAGGCAAAATGTAGTTTAGCTTAAAAAAATAAGTTTGATTTTTTTTGGGATTCATTCATCAGATTTAGGTGCAAAGATTAGATACCACTTACACATAAACACACAAATATGCTAAATAAGAAGCTATACAGCCAGCAGTTGGCTAGTTTAAGTAATTGGGGAAAAGCTGGTTATCAACCACTAGCTTAGCTTACCATGTAAATGCTAAAAACAGCTACCATGGCTATGTCCAATCATTAATAAAACAAAGATATACCCTCTTAAGTACACGTTTTGATTTCTTGACCGGGTGCAGTCACTTACTGGATGTTCCATCCATGCTTCCCGTCTTCGCTCTTAGCTAAGCTAACTGGCTGCTAGCTAGCTTCCTATTTACCACACTTTGATATTAAAGCAAATAAGCCTTTATTCCCCCTCATCTATGTAAAAGTACTTATTTAACCCTTCGAGTACATAACCTATACTCTTTCATTATTTCCATTTTATTATATAAAATAATTGACGTTGTGACCTTTATCTTTGTAATAAACTGAGTTTGCAAATTTGGGGATAATTATGTGCAAATTAGCATAAAGCACCACATGAGGAAATATCTCATGTTTGATATGTTCCTTACAACATTAACATATATATGGGCTATGTCTGAACTAATATTCCTTTAGTTCAACAAAAAGTAATTCACAAAGATATATAAAAAAACTCAAAAACTGTTTTTAAACTTGAGCTGGTAAAACAGGGCCAGGATAACATGACCCCAGAACAAGCATTGATGTTAAATATTTATTTAAATTATGTTCTGAAACCTCACCCCCACCCCCTTCGTTTTTGTAGTGGTCCCTATGGGATTCTTTATGATATTATTAACTTGAAAATTGCAGTACAATTATGAACTCAATATTGTGTCATAATTACTCAATAACAATACGCTCACAAACCCAGCAGCTTGTAATTGATGTATTTTATTGTGAGATGGGGAGTCATAAAAAATGAACAAAAAAAAGGAAAACAAACAAAAAACAATCACGATAAAAAAAGATGAGGGTGTTAAAAGGGGAAGGGCATATAAAAGTGGGCGTGGTCTTGACACTGACATATAAAGTAACAAATTGGCACAAATAAAAACATAAGAACAAACGTCAATATTATTTTGGCTTGGCAAAAAGGACAGTTTGTGTCGTTAAGGATATTCCTTCAATAAAACAGCCCACACTCATGCTATTAGACATACGATTAGTTTTCAAAAGTTCAGTAGCTTCATATTAGAGAGGGGGGAAGAAAATTAACATGACAATGGATGCACAGAGGTCACAGGTTCAAATTTTCAGGCTTGCAGGGTGCAATTTTTTCCCCAAGGAAAACTTCATTTTATTCGTTCGAAAAACATACTTCAGTATGCTGGAGTCTCATTTGTCTAGGCTTTTAGTTATTAGCCTTTGAATCTTTTTTTGTCCATACTAAAATATATTATCGTATTAATACAAACTACAGTATTGTACACTACATAGTGTAATAAATAACCATAAAGAAATATAAAAAATAAGACACATAAATATAAAAGTTCTCTATGACTAAACAGACATACCCATCTCCTTTGGGTGGGGATAATACTGCCATTGCTGAAAACATACAGTACACACACAACGAAACGGAACATAAAACATTTAAGAGACAAAAAATAATACTGACAGGTAAAAAGGTTGTTGAATTGAACTCCTGGGATTCTTATTTGCCTACATTTTGTTACCTGAAGAGACATCTGAGCATTTCATGGTGTGTTAAACAAGTGCACTGAATAAGCTTTGAAAAGGCAGGACACGGTTAATAATTATAAATAATACTTCATAATCATCCATTTGAACAAATGTGCATTGCAATTCTTTTAGCTGCTCAGATTAGAAATGAAAGCAACTTCTCTAAAATCTGTTGGCTAAACTCTACTCTCACAGGTTAGGTGGCTTTATTGGTTGATCTAGGAAAACCTGATCATAGCTTCTAAGCTTCAACAGCAATATTCAATGGCACTTTTGATATGCATGTTTGTCTTGTTTTAGTTTGATTATTTGCATATGGCTCGGAGTACGGGGTAGGCATAGGGAGGGTCAGAACATTTTCTACAACCCTTATTTGCTCGCTCTAAACATTTAAAGCAATAGTTTGACATTTTAAGAAAATATGCTTATGTGCTTCCTACAGGAGAATTAGATGAGTAGATCAGTACCACTGTATGTGAAGCTATTGCCAGGACGTGATTAGCTTTGTTTAGCGCAAATACTAAAGATAGGTGAAAATAGCTTGCCATGCTTTGTCTAGAAGTCACAAATAGTCCAGCATGCATTACTCCCACTTGCTGGACTGGAGTGGGAAGCAGTGGATACATAGGAAATAACTGCTAGCTTTAGCCACGTTAGATTTAGATTGTTGTTTTGGATGTACAAGGACATCTGGATACAGCATTGGAAGCGGGCTCCTGTTCATTCCTTTGAAAGAAGCTTAGTAGTGAATAAAGCCCATAAAAAGTGACTTTGAAGTATAATATTACCCGGCTCTTCCACATCTATGGGGCCTTTAGTAAAAAGTGCACTAGCGCTTTGTTAAAACCAACCTCCCATAGTTTGTCTTGGGCTCAATCACAGAAAGTAACTCTGCATTTGGCTATAGAGTGGTGAAGTCCCTCCCCTTCCGATGGACCTCCATGGGACCTTATTTCGAAAAAAATGATGTATTGAAGTCAATGGAGAGAGAAAGATTATCTTTCGATCCCGTTTGAATTGTGCCACGAATTACACATATGATGTTGTCAATTTAAAAGATAATTTTGCAAGTACAAAAAAAAAAATGTGTCATAAAACTGTGAAGTAACACATTTGTTTGTGTGAAACGCTCAATGAACTACATCTCTGGTCTAAACGATTGACTACCCTGACTATCACCACAATGAAACACGTCCAGAAGAATGTCATGCAAAGCTGCCTGCCTGCCTGCCTGCCTTCCTTTGATTCTCTCTGAACTGCCTGGTCTTTTTAATGTTTAATGTCAATCATTTGTGCAGATAGCATGAAGTAGAAAAGATCGCCGATGCTAGCGTTAGCATTTCTCCCCCGGACTTAAATTGTGTATTATAGAATGATCACACCGGTGACAGTACTCTTCAAAGGCTCCACAAAATATGACTACTACTCTTACTGTTTAACATTTTGAGTTACTTAATGTTACTTCATATTAGGCTAATAAAAATGACAAGGCTGTAATGCTAACTAACTTGCTAGCTACTAGCTAGGTAGCTAACTTGATCCAGCCACTCCTGGTCCTTTCATCAGACGGGAAGCAAAAGAACGAGCAAGACCCATTGCTGGTATGATAAAAATCTGGTACTAAGCACACAGGCATCTTGTTAAAGTTATCTTATCTTAGCCAGCACCATATAGATAGATTATATCTATATGGCGCTGATCTTAGCTATCTCTTAGTGGAGGAAAACAATTGTGACATCACTTACGCGACTCTGGGATTTGTAGTCTTTCTAGTTGCGTATTTTTCATAGTCTTATATTTCAACAGTTTTACGACAAACTGTGACTTTTTTTACATGGAAATTATTTTTTAAGATTGAAAAACATCATGTGTAATTCATGTCACAATTCAAACGTGGTCGAAAGATAAGTTTTCTCTCTCCATTGACTTCAATACATTATTTTTCCGAAATAAGGACCCATGGAAGGGAAGTAGATGGGCGTGACTACGCCTTTGGATTTTACAACTTTTAGGAAAAGATTACAAACGTCTCTTTCCCTGTGTAAGCCTATGGAGACATGTTGTAGTTCCACAGTTTAGCCACTATGTCAAATATGCTTCAAAGCACTATTCTTTGTTTCTCCCTTGTTCAGTTCCTCATGCTAAAGTAAGCTAAGCGGCACCTGGCTGTAGCCGTATAGTTATCAGAATGTGGTCATTATCTTCTCATCTAACGCTCAACAAGTCAAGAAAATACCTTTATTATCCCGAATGTCAAACTATGACCTTTAAAAAAACACCTATTTGTAAAATGAAACGATGAGTCTACAGTCTAAATGGAAGTACATGACTGAAAAGGACCCCTCCCTCCACTTTTTCTTCTTAAGGCTCACAATCCAATTAAAAGAACATAAAAAAGAAACAAAATGCTAACTTCTGCTAGCATGATGGCGTGGTATATCTAGTGCGGTAATACTGAAGGGCTGACAACACAACTGCTTAATCCATAGGTAAACCAAGCCACTTGTAGTGCACAGGATTTTTCTTATTTTCCTTCCAACTTAATAAAATACTGACTTTTTTTTGTTCATTGGCAATAAAAAGGTATAGAAATATCTCCCAACTGTACAGCTTTTAAAGGTTAAAATATGAGTGATAAAATTAGTAACACTGATAAAAAGAAATGACCCAAGGTGTTTTAGTAATAAAACATTATCTAAAACATGTCGGCTCTAGCTTCCAAAGTCTGTATAATGCATTTCCTTCGTTTGTTAAAATTTGTGTTCGTCTTCATCTTTTTCTTTACAAATTGATTTTTCTTACAGGGAGAAATCGCTCTCCTGCGGAAAAGTCACTAGTATTTTTTTCAGGCACACCTGGATTTTCTACACAGTAGTGAACTGAAACGGACTGTCAGAGTGAGCAGACATCATCTCCTGCGTTCTTCCTCTGCACATGAGGAGGAATCTGATTGTGTCCCATTGAGGAGTCTGACTCCTCCTTTAGTCTCCTTCCTCCTCCGGCGTCTCCTTCTGCTCCTCAGAAACCGTCTCACTGTCTTTTTCTCCTCCACTCTCCTCCGTGACCTGCTCCCCTTCTTTGCCCTCTTCCGTCACCCCTTCTTCCGTATCCATGGCCTCCTCTTCCTGCATCTCGACTTCCTCCTCTTCCTGAATGCTCCCGAGCACCTCCGCCTGCCTTGTGTCTTCCTCCTCTTCTTCCTCAGCCACCTCCATCTCTGTCTTCTCCTCATCTCCTCCTCCCTCCACTAATACTCTCTCCTCATTCCTCTCTTCCTCATCCTCATCCCCTCCTTCGTCCCCTATCTCCACCACCTGGATGTCGTCCATGTCCACCGCACCGTCCTCCTCCTCCTCGCTCTCCTCTTCGTCTCTGGTGCTGCTCCCTCGCTCGTCCAAGTCCAGCTGCGAGGGGGCGAGGAGCTGCTGCAGCCGGCTCAGCGCCTCCATCTCAGCTCTGGCCTCTGCCTCGTTCTCGGGGCTTTCGCGGCCCTCGCCCTGACCCGGCGTCTCCTTCTTGCAGTAGGAGTAGCGGTGGTTCATGTGCTGGGAGTAGGATCCCGAGTGGGAGAAGCGCTTGCCGCACTTGTCGCACTGGTAGGGTTTCTCCCCTGAGTGGAGCCGCATGTGTTCGATCAAGTGGTGTTTGTGTTTGAAGGCTTTGCTGCAGATGCCGCACTCGTGAGGTCGTTTCCCTGCAGAGAAGGAGAAAATAAATATGTATCAACATCTCTGTTTAAAGTTGTTTGAGTAAAAAGGCACCGGAGGAAAACAATAAACACTCCATTGCACTTTGAAATCCCCCCTACATAGTTGCGTGAAAGGTTGTGAAGCCCATATAAGTGTCTATCATCAGAGTATCCAAGGAGAACGTTTCAAAACAATACAACAAAATCACAACAATTGGATAGGAAACTTTATCCAGGCAGGGAACATCTAGTTTCACCTTGGATGAGGTCATTTGGAGCTGAAAACTATGGTTGCAAGCCAGGTATCAGAGTAAGAAAGAAAAAAAAGAAAACGCCTCTCAGGGCGCTGACCTCCACTTGGCCACGGAATCATCATCTTAGAGCTACGCAAATCACTACCAGAGCCTGTTGCAACATTCGGTGCTTTACATGAGAAGCTGGCAGTGCAGAGGTGGGGAGTTGGCGGAAAGAAATTCTCAGACCTCTTCTGTGCATGTTGAGTAATACCTGCTGGAATGGAGGTGTCCACCCTTCTTTACGCTGGAGCTCAAAAATCCCCCTTCACTCGCACTCTGACTCATCTCTCAAACAGTGAGTGGTGGTGAGATAAGTTCCTGTTCTGTTTTATTTCAAAACCAGAGCCCATCTATGATTTGTGGCTGTGTCTGTGCCTTTGCTACACAAGAGTTTGTAATTACCTGTGTGTTCGTATTTGTGTCTCAGCAGCGAGCTGCTCTTCTGGAAGATCTTGTCGCACAGGTCACAGGCGTACATGCCGCTCTCCGTCTTCTTCATCTTCTTCCTCTGTGGGCCCGAGTCAGAGTCGTTCTGCTCCTCCACGGTGGACATACCATCTGAGCCTGGGTCCATCTTCTCCTCCTGGTGAATAAGACAAATCACACATGTATTGGTTGGAATTCATAATGACGCTGCTCTGCTTGACAATGAATGACTCTTGAAAGTAGCACTACTAGCAAACAACTTGTGTGAGTGGTGCATTTCTCAGGAACTAATACCCCGTCATTTCCAACTCATAGCTCTCTGGAGACATTTGTAAATGTAAAATCACTCGGTATTGTCAGCTTATTTGTGAGGAATCTTTCCCTTGGCCCGAAACATAACCGTGCTGTGCACTTAAGAGCACACCTACATTTTTCTCCTGTCCCCGGGCTGGTAAATCTCATCTACTGATGCAGTCAAAGAGGATGTGGGGCAATATTAAGGAGATGATATATACACAGAGCTCTCTTTTTAACAAGGCAGGTCTATGCCAATCCACTTAACACGAAAGTATAATACAACAACAATAAATCAATGAGGCAGGCAGAGGTGTGCTGTTTAAACAGATTCCAGCAGATCAATAAGGGCTCTGCAGTAAAGTGCAGCCTCATGTCCTCTGGGTGACAGCCCAGGAAGATCACTCATACACTCAGAGATCAACATCCATCATTACAGGCCCATTAGGCGTTCACACAATGCAGGACTATTAAGGGCTATCATTTTTACAAAGAGCTGAATTCTGACATTTCTATATATGACTTATTGATTGTACTTGGGATGGATTCATACTATCTATCATGTGCTTGTGGTTTCAAACAATAAGGATTAATGATCAGGACAGAAGAGATTGACTGATTGCTCCAAAAAGAGATAAGCCACCTTGATTCAAATCCACTTGCTTCTCAAAATGGCCTCCGGATTAGACCTTGAATCCTTTCCTGCACTTTTTGAAAATCAATCGTTTTCTAAGTTTCAAACTTTTTTGCTTTGGCTGGCCTCATGACCTCCAACAACTATTGTCTGTTCTGCACCAATGAAACTAAAGGGACCACAAATAACATTTCATCTCAAAGTACTATAGGCTGAGGATTACAGACAGTGGGAGTTCAAGCCATTGTCTGACATTTTGGGAATTGCTTGTAAGCTTTCTTGGCACCAGTTAGAAAAGAAGATTGATACTGCTCTCAGTAAATGAGTAACTGTCAGTCACTTAGCTTAGCTCAAAGACTGGAGACAGGGAAAGCGGCTACAAAATCTGCCAACAGGCACTTCCTTATTTGACTAATTAACAAATAATATAGATGGATAGAAGATAGAATCGGAGGGATGAAACCCTCTTTAATGGTCACACATGCAGAGCTGTTTGGGGTCTGATTTCCTGGTAAAGATTTGTTTTAAAGTCCGACACACCAATACAATAAGATTGTGTTTTTTTTCCTTTATTATTTTGCATTATAACTTCAGTGAGCTTTAGAAGTGCTGGTTTTGTTAGTTTGAGACATAGCCTTGCTAGCTGCTTCCCTATCTCAAGTCTTTATGCTAAGCTAATTTAGCTGCTGCCTGTAGCTTCATATTAAGCATACGAATGAGAGTTCAGCAATAAAGACAAATAACCAACATTTCCAAAATGTAACACTATACTTTTAACACAGACAGGGACGCTGAATGATAACGCACCTTTATTCCGTTGAGGTGGAGGGTCTCCTGGGTCTGGGTCCCAGCAGGGCTGTTTGCTGTAGTGGTATAGGTGTAAGCCAGCTGGGGGATCAGGATAGTCTGTTTGTTGTTAGTGGAAAGTGCCCTTAGGCATTGCATTGTGGTAACAATGTTGAGGGGTTTGGCACTTTGCTGGCTGGCGTACAGTGCGATGTGGCTGGCGCCCATGGCTAAGAGTGGCGATGCCTCCTTCTTTGTGCAAGTTAAGTTTAGGGGTTCATCCACATGGGTAGAGCGGAGGGAAGGAGAGGCGTTAACACAGGCTTTACCCACTGCTCTCTCTGGTCCCCCTCCGGCGGGCTTTGGCAGTGACAGGTCTAGGGGTCCCTCAGTGCTCTGGGAAGGCTGGGATGGGACGGGACCGCCAGCTGTCAGGTTTAGTGGCGAGGGAGAGGCCGGCGAGCTATGTGCGCCGTTGAACTCCGCTGGAGTGGCTTCTGTAGGGCTGTCCTGGGTCACAGAGGGGCACGTGTCCTTCCCTTGGACCAGAGACACCACACTGTTAGCTTCACAGGTGTCTTCTTCCTCTGAGGGAGGTGTTGGAGCACCCAGTGATATCTGACCCTCTTGCATTTTGTCAAACCACTTCTTTACCACATGCGCTGGCAGGCTGACTGAGTCAGAGATCTTGGCCAGCTCATCCTTGGTGGGCTCTGCTTTTAAGGCCACAGCCTTGAGCAGGGACAAGAGGTTCTTGGGTTGGTTACAGAGCCCGCCCTCTGACAGCAAGGCAGCCACAGCAGACTCAGACTTATCCAGACCGTTCAGCCTAAGGCCATCCTTGCAGTGCTTGAGGGCATGGAGTGATTCCAGCCCACCGGGACAGTTATCACACAGGAGGCAGGTTTTAGTGGTCTTTTCCTCTTTTTCTTTAGTCTCATTGAGCCGGGAGCCTTTGATGGTTAGATCCTCTGGGAGTTTCTGGCCTAGTGAGGTTGCCTCGGGCTCTTTCTTCATGTTATGGGCTGTGAGCTGGCCCTGGTTGGGGTCCAAACTGTAGTTTATAATGATTTTTGTGTTTCCGTCCTGACCCACAATAGGCAGACTGATGGCTGAGATGAGTTGCTGCTGTGTGGGATGGAGCATTCCAGTGGTTAGTCCCGAGTGCATTTGCAGCTGACCTTTGGCATTGCTTTCCAGAACCTGGCGAATGACGTTTCCGTCCACCGCCACTTTGAGAGCATTCTGTAGGTCGGCCAGGTTGATACTGATGGGTGACATCAGCCCCATAGTGGGAAGGACCACAGCCTGCACCGTGCCCTGCAGAGGTGCAGTACCTCCGTGGAAAACCCCACCGTTCATAGCGGCCATTGCTGCGGATGTCATCAATGTGGGCTTGTACTCATAGTCCACAGGCTCAGTCTTGATCTGATTGAGTGGCAGCTGCTCCTGCAGTGGCTTGCTGTGCTCCATCTTCTGCATCTGGGTGCGGAGGGCTGATGGTGACGTGGGCAGCCCTGGAGATGGAGCCTGGGTCTGGGTTTTGGCGTTCCCCAAGCGCGCTCTTCCGTTAACTGAGATGACGCTGATGCACTTCTTACTGCTGATGTGGGAGCTGTATGAGCCTGAGTGAGAGAAGCGCTTCTTGCAGTTGGAGCACTCATACGGTTTCTCTCCTGAATAAAAACCACAATGTGCATAGCAGAGAGAAAGAGAGGGGGTGGGGGAGGACAGAAGCAGATTTCCATTAGTAAATGAAGCTAAATTAGCAAGTTAGACTATGAGCGGCACAGTAGGAAAAACCTCTAATGCATTTCAACGATGCTTAAACGCTGATGTAATGGCACCATTGGGAAATTCCCTTCTCTAATTGCTGTCCCATAATGCCAAAAGATACACAACTATGGCACTAAAGGAAGAGCATACAATGGATTGAAGCACAATGAAGGATATCTAAACACAGGGAATTGCTAAATCATCAATAGAAAAGATTCATATTGGTTTAATGTACACTGAGAGATATCTCAGTGTACATTAAACCAATACAGATAGTGGCCAGCAGAGAATCATGGCACACACACACACACACACACACACACACACACACACACACACACACACACACACACACACACACACACACACACACACACACACACACACACACACACACACACACTCTACGCTCCGCTCTCTGGAGAGGCTTGGCCTTCAGACTGTGCTTAATATCGCAGCAAATGAGCGCCTGCATGTGGGAGCTGAGCGTTCTTCCTCCACATCACATGAGCTAGCTAGTCTAACGAGCACTAATTACCAAGCAGCGGCTTATAGGAAGTGTAACCTGAGGATGGAGTTAAGGATGCAGGAAAGCTTCCTACCCTCTTTCTGTCCCTGCATGCTTCCTGAAGTGGATACCGGAACTGAGTAAAGTGTGTCTGTGATAAAACCCGAGCATTATTCCTCTATGGATGTGTTAGTGTGCCTATGTGTATCATTACAGGGAATAATTACAAGGGAGAGCTATCAGCTAAAAGCAAAGTTACGCTACTGTGGTGGTGTTTACTGGGCAGATGTTTTATGGATTGATTTAAGCACTCCTCCAGCTTAGGGGAGATTTGAGAATTGTGTTTTGTGAATTGTGCTGGTGTTGAAAGACGGGGCCAGCTGTGTGCTCCCTCGGAGAGGGGAACAGGTGTAGCACATCATGACTCACAGACGCACAGTGAATACCAGTTCTCTAACATTGGGCTTCCTGTGGTGCACCTTAACAAAGCCATGAGACAATACGAGCGCGGTCGTTTGTTGCTACGGTTATTAAAGACCATTCGAAAAAACTTCCCTCTATAAGAAACCCTGGATAATAGATCGTTCAGAGAAAGAGGCTGGGTGTTATGTGTGTGTGTAAGGCAGAAACCAACAGCTGCTTCTTCTTTTTTTTTGAAATTGTGGAATTCTCATCATAAAGTGGAGGGTCAGAAACACATTAGGGGCTGCTAACCCCCACATAGCACGCAGCTTTTTCCCACGACCAACAATACCCCGTAGACACATTTGCTACATTTTCTCTTCTTTAGAAAAAGTTTGACATTGTGGGAAATGTTTCAATGAAGTGTATTTTTCACAGTTGTGTTGGCTCTTGACAAGATATTGCACAAACATTGTTGCATGTGGGAAATTGCTGATCCGTCTATGTTGAGCCCCCTTCAACTCAAAGGCAGCATCCAAACACACCTCTAGGCTACTAAATGTTGAGCATGTGTGTGAAGTGAAGTCCCAGTGGGGGGCCTGTGGTGCAAAGGTAGTACAAGCGGTTGTTTTCAGTGTGTGTGTGTGTGTGTGTGTGTGTGTGTGTGTGTGTGTGTGTGTGTGTGTGTGTGTGTGTGTGTGTGTGTGTGTGTGTCGGCTCTTTGTTAAGCACAGACCTTGTGAAGCCAGAAGGGTTCACAGCCTCGCTAAGGCGGCTCCGCGTTATCAGGCTGCTCCCCTGACATGAAACACCACACAGGCCATTTATGTGCTGACGCAGGGATGTGAACGCACCACTGCACAAGTGGAAAATCAGTTCAGAAACCCCAGAACAAAAACCCCGTGAGGTTGTAGCAGGACATTCTGTTGCAGAACAAAAAAAAAATGTTTTTCCTTTCTGCGCTTTACAGTGTTTCCTTACCAAAGTACGTATTAGAACTAAGTCACCAGACCACCCACTCTTCTTTTTCCTTCGCTCCCTTCTCATCCTTCTCTGCCTACATCCCTGCAACATGATACAACGGTATCCCATGATGCATTTCCTGCCCTGGACGACCTTTGCCCCCACTGCTTCCTGTGGTTGTGCATCCACACATGTTTGTATCTTGGATGGGAGAGGCATCAGTGATAAGGATTTGCACAAACAGCTAAAATATTCAACAATCCCAATGAAGATGTTTCACTTTATCTCCGAGGAGGGAAGTCAGAGATTACATTCAAGGTATTTCCAAATCTGGGATGACTTGCTTATCATGTATTTGTGCCGTATGTCTCCACAGGACAATCTTCCCAGCTCTCTGGAGATTCTTCCTTTCCTGTCCAGAAGGGTGGCTCACTTTTAACCTCACGTGGTGACATAAAGCATCAGGAATGTAGGTGTTCCTGTGTGTCCACTGTGATCAAAATGGATGTTAGACTGATTCATAGGAGTATGACATATCATCACTGCATGTTGGGCCAACAGTGAGGAAATTGGTAGGTGTCATTGTGCGTGAGAGCATTCGCTTCAGTACTGCCTTAGTGCCCTAACAGCCAGCTTCTCACTGCCTTAGGAAATGTTTCCATGCTAAACCCAGCCTTTCGCTGTCATTAAGTGCCTTTGCTGCCCCACAATAAAAAAGCTCTCCAGATCCACCCTGCCTATTCTCTGAGATTTAATCAAGCTCTACAAATCATCACATATAAAGGAGAAGCCCTCCCAGGTCAACACTCTCTCCACCTTTTTATCCCCTGGAGTTAGTCGGCCTCTTCTTAGAGAAAAGCAGGCTGTAGTTTACGGCACCAACACTGGGCTACTCCACTTCTGCATAATCATTTAGGCGTGAATGAGTAATGACAGCGAGCAGGGTGCCCATGATACCATATCATCAGGAGGAATGATTCAGAACGAGAGAAGCAGCAAGAGTGTAAAAAGAGAAAAAAGGGAGGGGAGGAAAGTGAAGGAGAGATGGTAGAGCATTGAAAACCCACCTTTTGGTTTTGGAGCGCGTTAGTCTCGGGAGAAGGGGTGTCAACGTTTTAATTTGAAGCAGCGCTGAGGAGAAGATTAGTGGGTGGTGGTCACTATTCAAGGCTGCTCCAGGGACTTCTCCAATCTCAGGAGTGAAGCCAAGGGATGAGGAGATGAGAGATGAGTGAAGTGTGTTTGTTTAAAGAACTGCGGCTTTCCCATGTTTCATCAGTCCGGTTCTGAGTGGCAGAGAGGATGTTGCCTGATGTGTGATATGAAGGCTATATACAGTAAGAGAGTGAGAAAGACAGGTGTGTGTGTGCACATGAGTGAAGGCAAAAGAAAATATGCTTGATCAGGCATAACTGTGGAGCGGTGCCAGCTCACTGAGCTCTTTCAGTGTAACTCATGCTTTTGAAGTGTTTAATGTTCACAAGTCCCGGCCAAAACCAATGACATTATTCTTCCTCCAACTTTCCCTTTATGCATGGAGGTACAGCTGGGGAGTAGCGATGAAAATGACAACATAGTCAGGGGAATATGTGGCTCCACTGTGCACAGGTCTGTGAAGCACGTGCAACCGAAACCTTGCAAGTGAAACTGACTGAGCTGAAACTCATTGGAGAGGAATTTCAAAAAATCCCTCCCTAAACTGAAAGCGTTAGCTAGCCGGACATTAAGGCATGCGCTAACTTTACCTCTTGCTAAATCCGAGCCCCCCTCAGCCTCACACATCTCTCACCCGTGTAAGGAACAACACCCTCAAATAAATATTTGAGTGGCTGGATTACATCTCATATGGGCCTGTCCCTGTGGTGCACATACTGTACTTGGCACAGTCGGACACGAGCAATGTCACACATACATATTTTTATGCACATGCAGTATGAGGTCAGAAACGCCACGCAGAGGCCTTGGGCACAGGTTGAAACACCAATATCCTTCAGCACCTGTGATTGTTGTTGTGGAGGGGCATGGGGTGTGACGTCAGCCCTTCCTGTGGCACTGAGCTGCCTCTGATGTCACTTCCACACCGTTTGAGGTAACAAGAAGTTCACGGCAGCCCCTCCAATGCCCACCAGTGCCATAAAGCTCTCCACTGGCTTTTTGGTTGCGAGGCTATTCTCTGTGCTTGAAGGTCTCTCCCTGTGTTGGCATTGTCTTTGTTTAATATTGTACTTCCTGCCTTAGTTGGAGACCCACCACGTGTAGTACCTGTTTCCTTACACTCTGGGTTTCACAATGAGACAAAGCCTGGTACTTATCTGCGCACAGACGTCAGCAAAACATTTCTTAACTTAGCCTGCTTCACGTCAGGAGGTCAAAATGAGACAGTACCGGTCAGAAAATTAATGTCGTAACAATACATAGAGAGGCGGAAAGGCACATTTTTATTTATGTGCTGGAGACATTTAATAAAAAAAAGTTTGTCTACCAGCTTAACAATGTTACGGAAAAGTTTCCAGTGTCATTTGGATGATACTAGTTGCATGAAATCCCTTACTGTGGCTTGTCTTAATAAACTGGCACTTAAAGTCAGATCTGGCAAACAATAAATCACATGCTGTTTTACCCCACTAGAATGATTGTACATTTTAAAGCTAAAAACTAGATTAAAAAAGCACTTGTGCATTGCAGAAAAGAGGAACACAAGTCTCAGAACGTTGTGGAAATAGTGAGTAGTAAGGTGACGTTTGTATTTGCTTTGCTCACTGCAAATGATATTAATAATACGTCCTTTGCGTCATGTCTCACCTCCGTCCCAGCAGCGCTCCCTGGGGTGCTCCTCTTCTGGCAAGGTGCTGTCGCAGTCAGCGCCGTCCGCCAGGCTGCCTTCCTCCTCCACGATGTGCAGCTTGTCTTCATCATCTGATTCTGAGCCGGCTTCCACCACATCACTGTAGTTGCTCACTGCACAAGGAGACATGGAGGACAGAGGTTATAATGACTGCTCAGATTACGTCTATTTTTACACACATT